TTTTTTTCCCGCCACCCTAATTCAAATACATCAATTCTTCTGTAGTATTTTTTGTGCCTTGTCCAACTTTCTTATGCGTGAGACAGTTGGAAATACCATGGCTTGGGTCAGGCATTCCTTAGTCCTCAAAGTGCTCTTTGCTCTTGATCACTTTAAATAGATCTTGTCCAACAGATTTTCCCGATGCAGTATATTGTGGGGTTTTTGTTTTGGTTTTTTTGCAGTATATTAGTTTCTCCCTTCAGCATTGATTGCATGGTGGGTAGGTGGAATTAAGACAAGGTGGCCTTTACAATGGAAGAATTTCTTCATTCCTTGTTCAGAAACCTCTCTGTCCCTAAATTCAAAACCAAACCATTTGCTGGCAAATCAACTTTGACTCTTGGCATCACATAATGCCTGAGTAGACTTGTGTTTCATAGGGTTTTTCAGTGATTGATTTTTTGAGGTTGTAAGTCTTGACAAGCATAGAAAGCCTTATCTGTCTTATGTGGAGCAACTGGTGGTTTTGAACTGCTGACCCTGAGATTAGCAGCCTAGTGAATACAACTTTTTATTTTTAGACTTTTAATCGTGAATTTGAGCAAAGGCTTGGAGCACAAGTCCGCTTTCCATTCAGCATGTCAGACACTGTTTCATGTCATTGATCGCCCTGTAACATCCCTTCATCCCAATTTCCCTCTGCATTTCCATTAGGCAATCCTTTGATGCAAGAAAACCTTACGTAGTGTTAAGAGTGTGGGTCTGTAAACCTGCTCATCCTCTTTGTTCAGGTAGTTGTGTGTGTGTGGAGGGGGAGGGGAGGAGAGGAGCTGTGTGGCCCGTCCTCAGCCTGTGGATGTTGTGCCCTTTGCTAGGACAAGAATGAGCTCAGGTTCTCCACAATGCCCTCAGAAACAAGACTCTCAAGTCAAGATCACCCTAGCTGGATCACTTCTGAGTGTACTCATTCCCGTCTCTGGGCCTCTAGTGCATAGGGAGCTCTGGCACCGCCTGGCTGGCCCATTCTCTGAGAGCTTTGCCCTGGTGGAGGCCCACTGCTCTGAGAGGGAGGGGAGAAGGGGAGCTTCCCTCTCTTAGACGTGCCTGAGTTGGGACAAATTGGAAGTAATAACAGTGTTTCAGGAATAGTCGGCAAAAACAAAAGCACCTGCCAAGGAAGAAGGCAGGTAATGGAGGAGAACACATTAGACAGAACGGTGCATTCTGGGCCATTTGGTGGCAGACAGAAGTGAACTTCCTCATTGGCAAGTTTCCAGGTGACCTTTAACGAACCACAGGGCAAGCAAGAAGTGTCTTTCAAGTTTGTTTTTTAAAACAACTTTAAGTAATTTATTTGTACACGAAAATGCCAGCAAAATCACTCTTAAGCAACAATTAATTGGCTGAGGATGCCCTATTAGTAAGGTATTCCCATTTTAAGAGAAATTCTAAGAGTCCATTTTCTCATTATTATTTTTTTAA